AAACTTTATTTGCTTAAAAAACTCTTGTTTAAAAAGAAAGGAAGGGAGGTGGCAGGAGCAGTCCTCTGAGGGGGTCCGAGGAGGGATCAGTGTTACTGTGGAAAGTAATACCAGGCCCTGCTTCTGTTGACTTGATCATTGAGCTCCCAATTCATTAGTTAGGCCAGAGGTGTCCTGTTCATGAAAGTTGCCAGGCTGGTGACATGCAGCAGTTGCAGACCTCTGCTGTGTGAGCCCTGGGAGCACAGTGAGAACCACCAGCATTTCGGCAGTGCTTCACAGCGCTCGCAGCTGCTGTGTGTCAGGCAGGTGCTGCTGTAATGCTTGTGTTCTGTGATGTGAGATCTGGCCCCACTCTCTTCCTGAACACTCCAGGCTTGGACCAACTACCAAATACCTGGCCAGACTATTGTCACGAGAGCCGTCAAATGAAATCCTGGGGCAGGAGTCGTCGTCATTTAGTGTGCTTCCAGAAGGAATCAAAGGAGTCGCTGTTCAAGCAGGGGAGAGAAATGAGAAAAGAAAAAACGTAGAGCGAGTCTGTTACTTAAAAACAACACAGAACCAATGTTACAACCAAGAATTGTAGAGTCCTTGGCTGTGAGTCAGGTGCTTGGTGTTCTATAAGGATTTATCAATCACTGTTTCAGAAGAATATCGGATAACCTCTGTGAAATGAATTGAGGGGAGCATAAGCCAGGATGAGGCAGAATTCGTAATGAGTTCCCTCATCACATCTCTTGGCCAAGAAAAACATGCACTTTCTCCAGAGACAGAATTTTTCTTCCATTCCAGGAGGTGGAGAACACTTGATGTATATGTAGTCCAGGCTTTCAGATGAGCAGCTTTCACTAGCAGTTTTTTGTAATCTACTCAGAAATAAGTGAAGAGAGAAAGTGTGAGGTAACTGGAGTCTTTCTGTATCAGGAATAGCCTCTCTGTAAAAACGAGTTAGTCCTGTGCTTAATCCCTGCCTCAGTACAGAGCTATCCGTCTGGTGTGGATGTATTAAGCCAGCATTCTCTTCCTGTCTCCCAGAAGGGCGGCTGGGTGTGACAGCGTAAATGTATGACAGTATGTGAAAATGTTTCTGTAATCCTGAAGATTTCAGTAGTGATTAGAAGAGCTTTAGTCTTTGATCAATTTTCTTTGACTTGGGAGGCATAAAGAATATTTGAACCTCTCATTTCAGACTGACCTTGACTTTCCTCATTTTTTTTTTTTTTTTGCCTTAGATCATCCAGCCCCTCTTAGAACTTGACCAAAATAGAAGTAAATTAAAGTTGTACATTGGACACCTGACAGCCCTCTGCCATGACCGAGACCCCCTGATCCTCCGTGGACTCACTCCACCAGCTTCCTATAACTTGGACGATGACCAGGCGGCTTGGGAGAATGAGCTGCAGAAGATGACCCGGGGACAGGTGAGCTTCTCACTCACGCATTGAAAAGAGCCTGTGAAAATCCAGTTGCTGTGTAGGTTGATGCAGTGGGAGCTACCTTGGGGAATTCCATATTTAAATTCAAGATTTAGGGGTGGGGAGGGGTTTCCAGATATCATTTTTTAACTGATTTTTAATTGATTTTTTACTGTTTTATTTTTTTTAATTCACAAATTAAAAATGTATATTTCTCATGTACAACATGAGACTTGACTTGGATTGCTTGATACTTTGGTTTTGGTTTTGACCTGGCTTGGATTTCTGGATACTCTGATTTTGGTTTTGATTTTGGTTTGGTGTAAACTACAAAAGTGTGTGTGTGCCCTTTTTACCCGTTCCTCCTTTTGTGGTGTGCGTGTGGTGTGAGCGTGGTGTTTTGTCTAGAGGAAACATGGGTGAGGCACAAGGTAAGCCCACCGCTCTAGGAACTATGTTGAAAATTTTCAAAAACAGGATTTAGGGGAGACTATGGAGTACTATGACACCAGGAAAACTTAAAACTTTGTGTAAGATAGACTGGCCAGCATTAGAGGTAGGTTGACCATTAGAAGGAAACATGGACAGGTCCCTTGTTTCAAAGGTATGGCACAAGGTAACCTGTAAGCCAGGGAACACAGACCAGCTTGTTTTAGATCCCCCGCCCCCAACACACGGTGGTTGAGAGAACAGCAGCATAAGCAGCTGGCAGAGGCAAGGAAACACCAGCAGAGAGAGAGAAAGGAAAGAGACAGAGAGAAAAAGAGGCAGAGAGAGAGAAAGAGACAGAGGCAAAAGGAAAGTCAAAGAGAGAGAGACAAAGTCAAAGAGAGAAAGAAAAAAAGAAAGAGATATACAAGTAGTTAAGAAAAAACAAAAGTGTACCCTGTTCCTTTAAAAGCCGTCATACCAATTTTAATTTGGACAAAATAAGGTCTTATTAATAGCAAAGAATAATTAAAATCCCAAACTTACAAGGTTTTCAACAAAAGTAAAGTTTGCTAAAAGTTAACAGTGTGACATGCATTGTAGTAACTTCTAATCTTGTGGCCTTAGACAGTCTAGTCCACAGACATTAAAAAAAAAAAAAAAAAGATTCGCTTTGGAAAAGAATGGTTATCATCTTCAGAAAAAAAGAAAAAAAAGAGGGGGCAGAATTTATATAAAAAGACTGTTACATGGTAAATTCTTGTCCTGAAATAAATTAACTGG